TGAGTGAGATCCCAGTGGAAAGAACAGGTCTTCAAAGAGGGAGGTGCCTTTCTCTGAAGGGAGGAGAGAACCTCCACTTTGACTATGACCGTGTCTAAACAAGATAAGAGTCGGAGAACTCAAGGGGCTTCCATAGCCTTGGAAACTCATGACTGGTGCATAGGGAGATTACTGATGCCATAAACAGGAGTGTCAATTTGTAAAGTCAACAACAGGAGTCACTGTGCACTTACTCCTCATGTAGGATCTCGGTCCTTAACGTGCTGTACACTGAGGCTTAATGCTATAACGAGTACTCAAACAGTATATTTCACTTTGTGTTTCTATGGGGGTGCAAACGACTGAAATCTTTACTTAATGTACACTAAACTGATCTTCTGTAAAAAAAAAAAAAAAAAAAAAAAAAAAAAAAAAAAGAAAGAAATTTTCAATTCCCAACTTGACTCTCACTGGGATTAAACATGAAAATAGGTCTGATCTGATTTCATCATCATTTAAAAAAAATCATCTATTATTTTTCACTTTATGTTTCTGTGTGGGAGCAAACTGTTGAAATACTTACTTAAGGTATACTAAGCTGATCTTCTGTATATTAAGATAATCGAAAATGAATCTTGATGTGAATGGAAGGGGAGAGGGAGTGGGAAAGGGGAGGGTTGTTGGTGGGAGGGACGGTATGGGGGGGGAAGCCATTGTAACCCATGAGTCGTACTTTGGAAATTTATATTCATTAAATAAAAGATAAAAAAAAATAAAATAAAACAAAGTGAATCCACCAATGATCATTGTGAAATAAAGAAAAATGCATTGTGGAAAATAAAGAAAAATGCATTTTGGAAAATAAAGACAAAATGCCGTTTTTTTCTAAAGACTAACAAAATTAGCCACCCTCCAGAGAGATGGTTGCACTTCCTAAAGAGAAGATAACAATAATAGAAGACTTCAAATGGTAAAAACAAAACTAAGAACTTGCATTTTCTAAAAATGATATCGTGACTATGTTAATGAATATGGAAGGCTGAGACACACTGGCAAATTCCAAGAATACTTAACTCACCATAAAAACATGAGAAATGTAGAAAGTTATGAACATGCAAAGTTTCCCAGGATGAAACTGAGTAGCAGGAAAAAATCACTCCACAAGGAATTCCAGAGAATGTTTCAATGGTGTGGGACAAAAAACATCCATAAACACTTCCTACAGAGAGAGAGAGAGAGCATTCGGTCAATCACAGTGCAGGAAAACCAAATAAACCTGGTGTGAAAAGTATGATACTGAGGCCATCTCATTCAGGAGGCAAATGAGAAGCAGTCCCACAATTTGTAGAATTGAATCCAGTGCTCTCCAAGTGGAGTCTAGCAATGACCAAGAGAATCACCCCTGGAAATGGTTAACATTGGTGACACATGGCAGAGAGAAAGGTTTAACACAACACAATAAATATCTGCACATCAACATTACCACATAATCATTGATTATTGAAAGTTTTTGTGTTGAGATTGAATATGAATAAAACATCTGCTATCTCCACTTGTCACCCTCATGCTTTGGGAGGGGGTTATTTTAATAAAGAATAAACTTAACATCATTACAAAGGAATGACCAGATTGTACCCAGAGAAGTTATATGATTTAAAACAGAAATTCACATAATCATTGACAAAATTACCTAAAGGATTTGATAAAAATCTCTTCTTTTTATTTATTTTCCTTATTTGAAAGGTAGAGTTCCAGAAAGAGAGTGACAGAGTGTGGCCTTCCATCAGCTGGCTCCCTCCCCAAAACACTGCAACAGCTGGAATTGGGTCAGGCTGAAGCCAGGAGCGTCACTGAGGTCTACTACCCCAGCACAGGCCCCAAGCACTTGGGCCACCTTCTGCACCAACAGGGAGCTGGACTGGGAGTGGAGCAGCTGGACACAAACAAGCACCCATATGAGATGCACCACAACGCCTGTTCTGACTTGAGGAATTTTAAGGTTGCTGAACAAAGTCAGTAAAAATAAAACCATTTGAGTTTCTAAAAAAATTAGATTGATACTATTCAACACAAACGTGATAAACATCAAAATTAAGATGAAAAAATATCTAACTGGAAATGATAACTTAAGTTTACCTAAATATGAATCCCTTTAAAATTAAAATGTGGATCCATTCACTTGATAGGGAAGTAACAAAATGCAATGATGCTGTAAACAACAGGACGGGACAGAATGGGAAGTAACAAGATGGAATTCCAGGTACAGAACTTGCAATGGAATAAGGACCACTGAGGTGTTCAGAGCAAAGAGGAGCGCACAGTGGAAAAGCAAAGAACACTCAATGCACACAGGACAGCGAGCAATCTGGAGAGCTTCAGAGACCCTTGGTGTAAAGAAGGAAGAGGTGAAAACAAATAGGGCGATGGACAGAGAAACAACACGGTACAGGAAAACAGTGTTAGAAGGACACATCTGAAAAAAAAAAAAAACCAGGGAGACACTGGAACAGACACAGAGCGGGGAGCAGGCAGGGGGAGAGGCCTTGCCACCCTCCTGCCTCAGGCTGGGGGTGCAGGGTCCTTACTGTGAGCGTCCTGCACAGGCTGGGGCTGCCTGGCATTGACTGTGGATCAGGCCCGGGCTGGCGGGTCGTCTCCTCCCGGTAGATACCGTCACCTTGTCACTGCTGCCTCCACCACCTTGTTAATTGTCATCACTTTAATGCCCCCGGGAGAGCCCCCAATGCCCTCCCAGATGCACAATGAGTCTCCTGGGGAATGTACAGGGTTTCCTCACAGGCAGCGCCAAGTCAGCGCTTGAGGCTGCGTTTTCCCCAGCTGAGCAGCCAGAAAGTAAACTTCAGGACAACACAACTCATCAGAAGTTCATCTCCAACAGCTGCTGGCAATCATGACCTCACTAGTAGCTTCTTAATTTTCTTATTCAAGACCCGAAGTTTGACTTTATTTTCCCTTTAAATTTGGGGTTATTTTCTAGGAGATTCTCTTTTTACCTCTCAATCCTACTAATGTCTTTTGGGGGAATCACTTTGTTATTATTATATATTTAAACATTTGTTTGAAAGGCAGAATGAGAGAAAGAGACAGAGACAGGGAGAGAGAATATCTTCTATCTGCTGGTTCTTTCCCCAGATTGTCAAAATGACCGAGGCTGCTCCACGCTGAGCCAGGAGCCAGGAAACTGCTTGGGCCCAAGTGCTGCCTTCTTAGGCATCCTATAAGGAAGCTGCTTTGATGGAGGGGCAGCTGACACTCCACAGGCAGGCTGGCTTGCAATCAGGAGGTTAACCTGCAGCACATTACTGGCTCCTACTGTTCTTGTTCTAGTATCATTATTTACATAATGGACCACTTAGGAAGGAAATTTAGTTTACTTTTCTCTGTTATCTAGAAATACTATTCTTAAGGTTGAATGTGTATGGATAAGAGCTATGAGTACTGTTTCCTATTCAATAATTTATTTGGGGACTGGCATGTTGTGTAGCAGATAAAGTTGACGCCTGTGGTGCCAGCATCCTCTATGGGTGCTTTTTTTGTCCTGAATGCTCCATTTCCAGTCCTGTTCCCTGCTGATGTTACAGGGGAAGCAGCAGAAAATGTCCCAAGTGCTTGTGACCCTGCACCCACTTGGGAGATGTGCAAAAATGTCCTATGTCCTGGCTTCAGGAAGGCAAATCTCTAGCTTTTGGGTCCATTTGGGGAGAGAATCAGCAGGCGGAACACCTTTCTCTCTCTCCCTCTGTCTCTCTGTTAACACTGCATTTCAAATAAATAAGTTTTTTTAAATTTTTTCTTTAAAGTTTTATGTATTTGAGTTACACAGAGAGAGGAGAGGCAGATAGAGAGAGAGAATTCCATCCTCTGGTTCAGTCCAAAATTGGCTGCAACGGCTGGAGTTGCACCGATTCGAAGCCAGGAGCCAGGATCTTCTTCCAGGTCTTGCACACAGGTGCAGGGGCCCAAGGACTTGGGCCATCTTTTACTGCTTTCCCAGGCCATAGCAGAGAGCTGGGTCAGAAGTGGAGCAGCCAATACTTGAACCAGCACCCATATGGGATTCCAGTGCTTCAGGCCAGGGCGTTAATCCACTGTGCCACAGTGCCAGCCCCCTAAATAAGTCTTTTTAAAAAATGATTTGCTTCTAGTCTGTAACTCATTATGACTGTACACTGATAACACAAGTCTAAATGATTAACTCTGGAATCCTATGGACACTCACTGTGTGTTCACAGCACAGTTGCTTTTCCCAAGTGCCTCGACTGTGCTATAGAAAGAAATATGAGGAGTTTGCGTAACTGTGGGAATTACTGTTCTATGCAGGAAGGTCAAGAGTGTTAAATGTCCTACTCACATTTTTGTTGTTCTGCATTGTGTTTACATTAATGAGTAAAGTACGCTGATAAGATTCCCACTGTGCTTTGCAATCTTCCATTCTTAATCATTTATCACTTTGCACCACTTGTCAAAATCTTATTAATTTGCATGCATACAGAAATACAAAATTTGTATTAAGACAACCTCTGATAAGTGACAGCTAATATAAACACAAAAAATTGTGTAGGAATGAAGTGGTCACTCTGGGATATGATTGTGAGTTTCAGCCCGTGTTTACACTCCACTGGAACTGTGGCCTTCTTACATTTCTTTTAAAAGATTTTATGTATTTGAAAGTTATAGTTACAGAGAGTAAGAGGCAGAGAGAGAGCAGAGCTTTCATTGGCTGGTTCCCTTCCCAAATCGCCCAAAAAGCCAGGGCTCAGGCAGGCCAAAGCAAGGAGCCTGGAGGAAATGTTGGGGACAGTTCCTCTCAAAGGGATTTCTTGTGAATGTTGGCTTTCTAGTGTAAATACCTGTGTAGGATGTTTATTGTTTCTACCAAGCTGCAGAGACGACCTCATCAAACCTGGTAACAGAGAGGACTTCCCGGCTGCCTCAGCACAGGGCCCAGAAGCCTCTACACCTGGGCTCTGTCTATGACGTCACTTCCCCGCGACCTCAGCGCCATGTCTCCTGCTCCGCTCCGTGGCCTGAGCACTAGCGAGTAGACCGGAACTGCGATGTAGCCTGCCTGTCCTGCCTTCACCCGCTCTCCAGGAAGTTCCAGGGAAGGGGAGAGCACCCAGCTTCCCTGGGATTTGCCGTTTGCCTCTGCAAGGCCTGGGGCTGCGGGCTGTGTGACCCAGAAGCTTCTGCTCCTGCTGGCGGAGCACCTCCCACCCTGGGAGCCCTCAGGCCTCCATGCAGGCCCCACCCAGGTGTGGAGCTTCTGTGCTGCCCCTTCCCCAATGTTGTGCCTGCGCCCAAGGAAGAGCAGCAGGAGGCCGAGGGTTCCGAGGGAAGCAGCTCACCTGCAGCATTCCAACCCAACACCCAGGTGAGGGTTGTGAGCATGGGGGCTGGGGCTGTGATTCTGTCCTGTGTGTGTGCCTTAAACCTGTCTTGATTTCACTCTCACTCCCCCCCACACACTCACACTCACACTCATAAGTTGTGGTCATGAATTTGGGTGCATTCGATGACGTAGCTTCCTCCATACTATCCCTGGCCTCCAAGTCTCAAGACCCCCTCATTTCCTAGTTCCCATTTCTACTGAAACCCCACCCTGATGGTCTTCATCTCAACCACTGACCACCACTGAAACAAACAATCTGTTCTGTTTTGATTCCATGTCGCCTGCCACATGAGGGTTTACCAAGATAGGCAGAACACTGAAGATGGTTGTCCTGCCAAATGTTTTTTAAATAATGTGAGATGAAGGCATTGAAATAGCAAAAATCATCAGGCCCAGATCAGTTACTGCCGATCTTCATTATCTGAAGCTTCTCTTTACCTGACTTTAATTACCCCTGTCAGCCTGGATCTGAAATAACTAAATTGGAAATTTCCAGAAATAAGCAGTTCAAACATATTGCATGCCACTGCAGTAGCTTGATGAAATCTCCCACTCTCCCACTGGAACACAAATCATCTCTCCAGCTGGGAGATCCACGCTGCCCGTTAGTCACTTAATGTCCATCTCTGCTATGGGATGGAGGCCCACGGGGTTGCTGTGCCTGATCAAGTGATCCTTATTCTCATGAATAATGGCATCAGCATTTAAAAGCATTGGTGCTGGCAGTCCATAACTGCAGAAGCCATAGAGCGCTCTCTTTAAGTGAGAGATTAAAGTTCTCCACTTACTAAGCAGAATAAGATCAAACACTGAGCTGACTGACTCCTGCAGGCAGGAAGGTATTTTGACAGAGAGTACGTTCCTGTGACTTGAATCCCAGTGTATTGCTCTGAGTGCTCCGTTGTGTCATTGAGTATTATTGTCCCCTCTCTGTGCCTAATATTCGCATCACACATGCTCATAGCAACCTGTGTATAGCACAGACAGTGAATTCAGGGTCAGTACCATCCTCGCTTCCAGGCCTTCACTGGAGGGCCCTAGGAAAGACCCCTGTAGGTCAGGGGAGATGACTGTAGATAAGGGGAGAGGACCAGATAATGGCCTCACTTTGGAGGCCTCACTGCTTATCTCAGGACTTTCTTCCTCTTCTACAAACTCCATTGACCTCAATGAATCACTTCTCACTGCGCATCTTAATTTTAAGATTTATTTTATTTATTTGAAAGGCACAGTTAGAGAGAGAGAGAGAGAGAGGTCTTCCATCTGCTGGGTCATTCCCCAAATGGCTGAAACAGCCAGGCCTTGCCAGGGCAAAGCCAGGAGCCTGAGTCTCCCATGTGGGGTGCAGGGGCCTACAGGCTTGAGATGAAGTTGCATGAACAAGGTGTACGTATATAACACAAGAAGCAATCTGTTCCCAATGCACCTGATGCAAATTTCAAATGTGAGGACAAATCCAAGAAGTCTATCACTTGGGAACACAATAATAATGGTATATTTCTGGATGTTGTAATCAGGCCAGGCTTCCCATCAAACCTGAGTAAAGTGTACTGTACAGTTTTAAACAGTTCAGCATGTGGATGAACAGAATGAGTGACAGGTCAGTGTGACAGGCGGTGTCCGATGTCCAATTGCTCTGGCTCTCAAGCCCAGTGTGCCCCTTCAGATGCTGGATGCTGGGAATTTGTGAGAACTTTCGTGTACTGAAACACCATGGGGAAGCTGAAATTTAGATGCACTATAATGTGTCACCTGGATATGTTTTGCCAGCGTGACAGACATATTTGTATATTATAAGGTGTTTTTTATTAAAATTAGTACATTACATTTTTTCCCTGAACCTGTATGTTTCAGTATGCAGAACTGTCTGTGGAACACTGCATTTATAATACATGAAGAATGCATGAACAGTTGAACTTCCTTTTTACTTCAGTCTGCATTACATACCTATTCCGACACAGTGCTCAGGTTAAACACTCATACATCAACACCGGTAAGGTTTTGGAGTAAGGAAGTCACCCACTCCTGTTGCCCACACAACAAGACTTCTGCACCATAGGCAGGCAACAGTCTCCTGTGGGAGTCTCTGGATTCAGGTGGGAGGGGCCAGGAAGCCCTGGTGGAGCCCTGGACCAGGAGGGTCCTTTTGTGAGTGCAGACCTATATCCAGGCAGGAGACCCCCTGAGCCTCCTCTGGGGTCAAATGCAGAAATGGCCTCCATCCCTACTGAACTTGGCTACAGCCCCCTTGGCATTGAGCCTGTAACTAAAACGTCATAAAAGGACCCAGAGGGAGAACCACCCAGACCTCACTCCCCAGGGGTTACCCGCGTGGCTGAGCCTCTGCGTCAGGCTTGCCAGTCACTGTCCCACAGCAGATGTGAGGGAGCCCAGTCTCAGCTCTGCCCCCTCCTGCCTCCCAACACTGCCCAGTTACCCTCCGTGCATTTCCCCCAGCTCTGGGCACGGACGTCCTGCCAACCTCAGCGTCACTATCACACTCATGGAAAACCTACACTTGAGATGCTGACAGGACTGCCATGGTCAAGGTAGTCACCCTCCACCCTCACCCTCCAGCCCCCAGGCTAAGGACAAGCCGCCCTTTGTGGCCCGGGTAAAGGACACCAGGACAGGGAGGCTGGGCTTCCTGCCCGCATCAACTCTCCTGGCAGCCTAGTGCACAGGCGCTCCTGTGCGGGGGACCCTGTGGACAGCGTTCAGGAGCAGGGCTCGCGGGACTCGGTCGCCATTGCATGGCTCCAGTGCCACACCAGCGTCTGCTCACGGTGGGTGTCTGACACACAGAGACCCCGCTGCACGGTCAGGCTCCGTGCTGCACTTAGTCCCTTCAACAACCTTGTGAGCTGCATCCTGCTCTGATTCCCGTTTGCAGAGCAACACGGAAGCGCAGAGGGGCCAAGCGGCCAGCCCCAGGTCACACAGCGGGGCAAGGCGGGGTGTGCATCTGGACTGGGCCCCTCCCCGACAGGGCCTAGCTGAGCCTTCTACCTGCTCAGCTCTGCTCTCAGGGAACAAAAACCTGCACCTGCCAGGCTTGGCGCCAAGCATGCAAGGGCAGCAGAGGGCAGCAGAGAGCTCAGCCGAAGTGGCAGGCATAGGTAGGAGCCCAGGGAGCTGTGATCCTCCCCAGGGCACCACAGGTAGGGACCCTGAACAGGGCTGAATCCAGCGGAGGGCTGTGACCCGGCTCTGGCTCCTCGCTCCACTCTGGGCCTCAAGGCTCCCTTCTGTAAGATGAAGCCAAGACCAAAATCCACCGCCACAGGCTCCAAAGAGGCAGGCACACTGCAGAGTCCGTGTACCAGCTGGCCACACTGCAGAGGGGCTGCAGCCCCGCTGGGGGCACGACGGTGGGATGGCCTGGCTCCCAGCACCCAACCTCCAGCGCACCGGCTTCCCAGGCCACGGGTTCCTGTGGCAGGTGCATGAGTAGAAGGAACCCCCATCCTGTTCCTGGTCACATTGCTGATGGGTAGGTCCTGCTGGCGTTTGTCTGGAAAGATCTTTGTGTCTCCTTGGCTTCTGGAAGCCGGTTTTGTGGGTGCCTTATTCTTGGGGTGGATTTTTGTTCCCCTGTCCCATTGCTTCCAGGCCTGCCAGGCTCTGCCGAGCAGTGCACCGTGGATTATTCTGGAAGCTCTCGTAGTTGCTTGCTGCTTTTCTCCTGCTGCTTTAAGGATCCTCCTCGGCGATGCCCTGGGAGAGTTTGTTTCCAGTACATTCTGGGGTAGATTTTTTGGGCTTGACCTTCAGTTCCTGGATTTTCACATCTCTTTCCAGCTGTGGCAGTGTTCTGCGATTGCTTCTTCGAATGAGCCTTGTACTTATTTGTCGTCTTTTGCCCCCTCTGAATTCTCATTTACTCCTGTATGTCCTCTTTTGATAATCGTAAGCTCCATGAACTCTTTGATTTTTTTAAAATAATTGTTTCAGACTGTCTAGATTTCTCTGATGACATTCTTTTTTTTTTTTAAGAGAGAAAGGGGAGGTTGGGAGTATAGGAAGGAGAGGAGGGGTAGAAAGGAGGAAGAGAATATCAGTATAGTCAGAATTCTAAAAAATTATTTTATAAACATTTATTTATTTGAAAGATATAGTTGGGAGAGAGATTGTCCATGTGCTGGTTCACTCCCCAAATGGCTGCAGCAGCTTGGATTGGGCCAGGCAGATACCAGGAGCCAGGAGTTCTGACCTGGTCTTCCTCATGGATGGCAGAGGCTGTGTTTCCCCACTTAACCAAGGGCAACAGCACGATGCAGGATCAGAAGTGGAGCTGCCAAGAATCCAACCAGCACTCTGAGGAGGGATGCTGGCACTGCAAGTGGTGGCTGAGCACATTGTGCCAGAGCATCAGCTCCGATTTCTCTGATAAATTTCTGTATGGTTCCTCTTGGTTTCTGAAGTTCACTGTGCTCCTGTGAGACAACTGTTTAATCAGCGTTGTCTCAAAGATCACATTTCCATCCTTGGGGTCAGTCATCCATACGATATTATGTCCTTTTGATGTGATCACAATCTCCTGGGTGGTCTTAATGCTCACATCACGTGTCAGTGTATGTGCATCACAAAATAAGCCACTTACTCCAGGCTGACTGACGTGACAGCAGGCGGTGGAGGCAGCTGCTCTGGGCAGCTGCACATGGCGTGTTGGGATGCACATTATTAGCTTGGCCAGTACAGACTGAGCTATGGGGGCTGCCCATAGTGAAAATAAATCTGCCACACTGTGACCCAGTCATCCCACTTGGGGCTTTATACCCCAAGGAGGTGAAATGTCTGTGTCAGAAGCAAACAGACAATGCAGTGTTACTGCATCGCTATTCACAAAAGCCAGACACAAAGGTAGGGAACCACTCCAAGCCTCCACCCATGGATGAATGATTTTTTTTTTTTAATGTGGCCAGTGTGCACTGCAGGATATTATTCAACAATGAGAAAGAATGAAACCCTGCCACTTGCAGCACCACGTATGAGATGGGAAGACGTTGAATGAAACAAGATAGAGACATAAAAAGACGCCACGCATTCTCTCTTGTATGTGAAACCTGAAAACGCAGATCTCAGGTTAGAACAGAATGACATGGTGATTACTAGGGCCAAGGTAGAGAGGGCGGTGGGAGTCGGGGTGCCAGGTCCCAAAAGCCCAGCAGCGTGAGTCCCGGGATTAGTGAGAGCTGAATCAGTATGCAAATCATTTTGATTTGCATATTCCAGCACAAAATCATTTTTAAAAAGTAAAGACTTAAACCAGTTAAATAACATGAATAAATGATTAGCCTCAAAATTATTTGATAAAATATATAAACTTTCTAATTAGAAATGTTGGTATGAATTAACCTGTGACTGAAACCTTCTAAAATAAAAATGTGAGGGCCTGCATTATGGAACAACAGGGTATGGCGCTGCCAGCATCCCATGTAAGTGCTGGATGGATTCTAGGCTGCTCCACCTCTGACCTGCTCACTGCTAATGCACCTGAGAAACATTAGAGGATACTGAAAGTGCTTGGGTCTTACGACCCACACGGGAGACCTGAATAGAGTCCCGGGGTCCTGACTTTGCCCTAGACTAGCCCTGGCCATGGTGGCCATATGGGGGAGGGAACCAATGGATGAAAGATCTCTCTATATATATCTCTCCTTAACTCTGTCATATAAAATAAATCTTTTAAAGGATGTATCCATTAATTCGAAATAAAGGGTTATTTTAAAATGGAATGTTGCTGAGAAAATAACAATAGAGTATACAAGGAACTAATAAAATAAAATTAGAGGCACATTATCTCCAATGTAAATAGATAATATTAATTTAGGTATGGAGAGAGAAGAGGAGAGCTTAGTGGAAAAGGAAACATTCAGTAGTCTTGGGAATGAGAGATCTGGAGAGTTTCACAGATACTCAGTATAAAAGAAACAGTTGAATAACAAGTAATCAATATGATTTTTAAACTTCTATCAAACATAGTGAATTCTTTCATGTTTCTAAAAAGCTTACAGAATCATCTGAATATTGCAAAAACTATTCCAGAAACTTAAAACACAGGAGACATTCAATGAAGCATGATGAAGGACTAAACAAAGCTTGTCAATCACAATAATAGAAACACAGTGTGTAAGACAGCTCTTCCTGATCCTAGTTGCAAAAATCCAAAGTGTTTGAAAGATAAATCTTTGCTTTGAATTTTGCCCTGATTTTTCCATTTGTGTACAGACCACCATGTATTCTGAACCTGCTTGAGCTAAATTCAGATTCTGCCAAATTGGGGGTGAAACAAGTGAAGAGATTCCAGCACAATCAAATAGGAATCAATTTTCAGGGATTTTGTTGGGGCAGAGCAAGAAGTCTGCAGACCACCCCATAGGACCTGGTTCACTCATCATCTGCTGCCAACGGAAAAAGGGCAGAAAACATTTCAAAGGGAACGAATAACCTTTGCTTCTCCCAAGTACCCCAAACGAGTGGCAGAACTGGAGCTGACGGTCTCTGACAGGTTTCCAAACCTCACCCTATCTGACACAGCAGGCTAAAGGACAATTTTTAAAAGCTCATGGACAAAAGTGAGTTTCTCCGTGGGAAGAGCCTCCTTCTGGTGTTCGACATTGTGCTTGAACCACAGAAAGCTGAAGAGAGGAAATGGGAGCTCTTGAGAGATGGGGGTGCGACCATTGGAATCTAGGGCACAGATGAGGTGGAACCCATGAGCCTTGGGGACAAAGAGATGTGCAAGGATTCAGGCTGCCGAGCCCTGTGCGATGTCCCTGAGGACTGGAACTCATTAATGACTTCAGTGGGACACAGGCTGTAAGACTGGGGAAACTGAAAACAAGGAAAAAATACTATTGAAGAAAGAGACTTGCTAAGTGAAACACTGCAAGCCAGTGCACCACAGAGCACTGGGAAAGCCTCAGGCCATTGCTGGTGAGTATTGAACTGCAGAGACCCATCTCAGGACAGCACAAGGGACTGGATCCAAATGACAAATACGTCAGCCTGAGAAGGGGAGGGGATCATTGTGGGTGGGTTTATGAAGATGCAGAGACAGCCCTGCATTTTACTATACATTAAGGATTGAACCCCCCAAGACCTCCCAACCTCTTCATCAGCTATTTTCATAGCTTTTTTATGTTTAACTTTTTATTTTTATTTTTTAAAGATTTATTTATTTACTTGAAAGTCAGAGTTACACAGAGAGAGAAGGAGAGGCAGAGAGAGAGAGAGGTCTTCCATCCACTGGTTCATTCCACAGATGGCCACAATGGCCAGAGCTGTGCAACCCAAAGCCAGGAGCCAGGAGATTCTTCCAGGTCTCCTACATGGGTGCAGGAGCCCAAGGACTTGGGCCATCTTCTGCTTTCCCAGGCCATAGCATAGAGCTGGATCGGAAGTGAAGCAGCTGGGACTCCAACCGGTGCCCATATGGGATGGTGGCACTGCAGGTGGTGGCTTTACCTGCTATGGCACCATGACAGCTATAGCAGTATATATATATATATATATATATATATATATATATATATATATATTTCCTGCATCATAGACATTCCTTAGGAATCTCATTAGTTCCTGTGTTTTATTGCTTTAGTTCACTGATGCTATCCATCTACATGAGTCCTTCAAATGTATGATTTGAGTATTTTGATGTTTTTGGATGGATTCTTAGGAACGTAAATCTAAGGCAAGCACATGTGTTAATTTTGAATTTTCATTTTTGTTTTTTTAAAGATTTATTCTCAGATTTATTTCAAAGAGTTACAGAGAGAGGTAGAGACAGAGAGGGGTCATCCATCCGCTGGTTCCCTCCCAAGATAGCCACAATGGCCAAAGCTGCACTGATCAGGAGCTAGGAGCCTCTTCTGGGTCTCCCACATGGGTGCAGGGGCCCAAGGACTATCCCAGCCATAGCAGAGAGCTGAATTGGAAGAGGAGCAGAAGGGACTTGAACCAGCCCCCATATGGGATGCTGGAGCTTCAGGCCAGGGCTTTACCCACTGCACCACAGCGCCAGCCCCAATTTTGTATTTTCTCATAGCTGAATTAAAAAACACAAATCTAGGCAGATACAGTTAGCTTTAATAATATATAACACTTTATTTTAACCCAAAATATAAAACTTAAATATGTAATCAATGTGAACATCAATTTCTTCATTTTTATTAAAAAACATTTAAAAATTTGAATGTATATAAAAAGTACTGCATAGCTCAACTCAAACTAGCCCCATTTCCAGTGTCTCATGGTCACATGATCCTTTTCCTCATAAAATCTATGTGCAGACCTCTCTGATGAAGATGTCAGATCAGCCACTGAAAGCTCTCCAAGGAAAGGTCATTTTCATATTTGAAAGGAAGCAGAGTAATTTGGAAATCATTTTGTTATTTTTCATCAGAAAAAAGGGACAGAGTGTCGGGTAGCATGTGGATAAAAATCCACTAATGCTCTCCAATCTTGTATTTTTCTCAGTTCTATAAAGCACAAAAAGGGTCAAAAGGTTGTGTAAAAAATAGAAGACGACAAAGCAAAATACCAGCAAAAGGATAGTGTGGGTGGCTCTGTTTTCTGGAGACGTCTGGCTGGATAGGCTGGAGCTGTGGATGTGCTGGGCTCTCCTGTGGTGTCTGTACAGGAGCCCCACCATGTAGAGGCTGGACATGATCATCAGTGCCATGAACAGGAGATCGCGAATCACCATGGAACTTACAAATGGTCCTGGATAGCGCATGTTCATCTTCTTGCTTTGACAGTATGCATTGACATATCCCTGGCCAACCATAGTGAAATTCAATTTGGCTCCCATGACTCTAATGACCTGGATGTAGATCAGCATGTTGATGACCCAGAAGAAAAGGAAAGAGGGGAAAATCCAGGTGGACAGTTTAAACTTCAGCCTTGCCCATTTAGAATGACTGGGACTGATAGTGATGGCTTGAAATACACTCAGGAGAGAGGTGGTGCAGATGGAAAGACCCCGGGTGACTCTGTATATGTACAAAAAAATTTGACAACCAATATTGTCCAAGAAACGTTTGACTCCAAATGATGACATGATTTCTGGCATTGAATGGAAAATAATGTTTAAAATATTGGCCATTGTCAGGTGCATGAAAATCCAGTCTATGGGCTTCTTCAGCTGAGGCTGGATGAGGAAGGTGTAAATATAGATCATGAAGAGCAGTGAGTTGGCCGTGACACTGGTGGACATCTGAGCTATGAGAAAAAAGCTATAAATTGTGTCACTTGGAAGCATTATCTCGATGATATTTTCAAAGTTTTAATTAGGTAAGTTTGGTCTCTTTGGAAAAATAGGTTGCACTGTGAAATTATTACAAAATGGTGCCCTGAGGAAGGATATGATGCCTAGCAGCTCAGCTTGGAAGATGGGTGCTGAAATGTTCAAATCTTCTATGTTTCAGATACAAGGTTGGAACTTCCAGAGCTGGATTCCAGGCATCCTTTAAGTTTGGATTGTAGAGGTAGGTGATATGAAGAAGGTAAAATTCAAGTGTTCGCATCCTTCACTCTCTTATATGGCCACAAGGACCTGTTGGCCTCTGTGAAAAAAGAATTTGCATGTGATATTTTCCTCAGAGTCCTAGAGTGCTATTAGCTCTAAAAATATGTGTATATTCACCTTTCTGAAAAATAATCCATGTCTACTGCTTGAAATGCAGTGTGTGTGTATGAATTGCTTTTTTTTTTGACAGGCAGAGTGGACAGTGAGAGAGAGAGAGAGAGACAGAGAGAAAGGTCTTCCTTCTGCCATTGGTTCACCCTCCAATGGCCACCGCAGCCAGCGCACTGATCCGAAGGCTGGAGCCAGGTGCTTCTCCTGGTCTCCCATGGGGTGCAGGGCCCAAGCACTTGGGCCATCCTCCACTGCACTCCCTGGCCATAGCAGAGAGCTGGCCTGGAAGAGGGGCAACCAGGACAGAATCTGGCATCCCGACCAGGACTAGAACCCGGTGTGCCGGCGCTGCTAGGTGGAGGATTAGCCTATTGAGCCGTGGCGCCGGCTATGAATTGCTTTTTTAGAATTTACACTGCAGGCCAGCGCCGTGGCTCACTAGGCTAATCCTCTGCCTT